CATGATTAGGCCATGATTTGACTGGTTGGAAGAGAAAAATGGGAGACATTACCACTTTGTCACGGTTAAAGTTGTGGCAGATGAGCCAGTGTAGGTGTGGTTACCCAATAGCGACAGTGGTGGGAGATGGGCAAATATGTGGTATAACTGCTGACCACAGTAGTAGTCCAGACGACCGGGGTAGTCTTTGGTGGAGCAGGAGCAGTAGGGGCGGAGAATGTGGAATTAGCGTGAGGAGGAACGATGATGGTGGTCTTTGGTGTAGATGTTGACTTAATGCTGCTCTCGCTCGACGAAGGGGTGATGGGAACCGAAGTGCTGGATGGATGTGGCTTGCTAACGGTACAAGGGCAATCGGTAATAGTCAAAGTAGTTGACTTAGTGACGGTATATGTCTTTGTTCCAATAGTCAATGTAGTTGGAGTTGGGCAAACAGTTGTAAGAATGTCGGTGGTGTATGTAGTCCATGTTGTGTGCTCGGTCTCAGTTGGTTTGACAGGCTCCGAAGTTGGTCCAGTACCGAGAGGAACAGAGGCACTGCTGGTGATAACCGAGGAAGCGCTGCTGGAAACACTCGATGAAGCTGGAACAGAAGGGATAGAGCTGCTTGGCTTGCTTGACGAGGATGCTGGAACAGTTGGAACAGTCTTGGGAATGGTGGTAGAGTATGTACAGGGGCTAGATCGAATTGTTAGTACTTTGATCGAGGCGTTTTCAGTCAACATAATTACCAGTCAGTGATGGTCAAGGTAGTAGAATCAGTGACGGTATAAGTCTTGGATCTCATGGAGAAAGTAGTGGCAGATGGGCAGACAGTGGTATAGATATCAGTAGTGATAGTCTGAAAGAGATAGAAAGTCAGCACACGCATGAGGAAGCAAGTGATATCAAACAATATCAACGAAGAGTTGAAACTAACCGTATACGCAATACCAGTTACATTGGAGTACTTGTAACCGTTGACTACAGTAAGAAGCCCGAAAGCTGTGATGAGCGATTGAAATGTCTTCATGTTTTCTTATTTTTCCTGAACGACTGTGATATTGTATTGTTACAATAACGAAAGTGGGGTGATATTAAGATATTATGTTGATGAGAGGATTGAGAGATGAGATTGATGTGACAAAACTTGAACGAATGTGGTTGTTGTGAAGTGTATGTGTGTGAGAGAGAGGAAGATAAAAATTTAGATGAAGATGGGGACGTAGAGTTTATTAAGTACTTGTCGACATTCGTATGTAAACAGGCAGACAGAGGCAGGTACAAGTTGCATGCATTAGTATTATTTTTGATTTTAGTCAGTCGGGACAAGATTATGTAAAAGGTGAGAGGAATTAGGTAGGTAGGTAAATACTACTAGGTAGGTATTAGAAAGGTAGGGACGAAAGAAGTTGTTGAGCCGTGGAAATACTTCCCTCTATCCACCTACGTAGTATCTACCTGGTATGTGTGAATAAGGAAAGAATGATCAAGTTACCAAACTTCTCACCTTGCTGGCTGGCTGGCTGCTGCACCTTTCCCGATTCACACAATTTACCCCTCCACCTTCTTCAAAGTGACCCAATGAATGGATGTACCATGTAATATTGTGTTGTACTATCAAGGTATCATCATCTTCCTCATCACCCTCATCATCAAATCACATCGTATCTAATCGGACTGAACTTTCACCTTCACCCACTTGGGAAATAAGTTTTAACTTTTTAACTTTTTGAACTTGATAAACTTTTACGAGCCTCCACAAACGAAGAAGAAGAAGAAGTTACTACTGCATGTACAGCCAATAAGCAGGCTTGGTATGCATATATCAATACCTATACTTCGGGTCATATTGAGATAAGAATGAAAAATTGAGATAATTCTTAATTCTTCGTATAGTAGTAGTGCTTAGCGTGAAAAACCTCTCTCCTTCGCTCCAATGAGATATCAAAGAACTAGCCACTGCTCAATCGGTGCTTGCTACCAGTACGATGTGGCTTGATTTATTACTCATTTGTTATTCCAGAAAAGAAAAGATTTCATGTTCGATGCTCGTGAATACGACGTACCGCTTAATGGTTGGCCAAGTACCGTGAGATGGTTATATGGAGTAGAAATAGAATAGGTAAGGAAAGATCAGAAAGGTATCTGTTCTTCGCTTCCGGGTACCTCATTCCGACTTTTTCACCTGCTATCTGAGCTACTTTCCACTTTTTCCCCCGCTCTAAAGTCACTTTTGTCCACACTTAACAACTTACAACCCACTTGTCCGCTTAGATCTGCGTCATGGGTGAGATTTATTGATTGATAGAATATCTATTTTCGTCCGAATGTTCAGTCCAAGTCGCCCAACACGAGAATCTCCCAACTCCCAAGCATATTGAAATCTGAGAAGTCTGAGAGTTGTTTAAACAAGTGGCTGGTCGGTTGATGACTTTATAGTCATTTTATCCGGTAAAGTAAAAAAAACTAACAATTTCTAACTCCCATTTTAGGAGTTATCCCGAAGTCTTCACCCTTTTCATTCGTTGGTAGCTTTGGTAACTAAGTATTTCTCGTACTTTCGACCCATATCACAACCAATCATTATAAAGATATTTATTACTGGCTCGCACATGTGCCTGACTGCTTTGAACCGTCATCTTTGCTGACATGGCGGACAATGTTTTGACAGAGATAGGGTGAGGTTAATGCAGGTGTTTACACGGTATAAGCTCGTTGAATTCTTCTAGCGTATCTAGTGTGAGATATCTTGGGATCGCACCCTCTTTGCCTTCTTCAAGTTCCAAAGGTAGTGGGCTGTCAATGCGGATGGGCTAGAAATATGTTCAAAGAGAAGATATTTACGATAAAGTATGGTCAGTAGATTCTTGGAACGACCCGGTTAGATGTATTTGGGCAGTAAAGTACTCTAGAAGGGAATTGAAAAATTCGTTAGATCGTCATCCGCCGTTGATGATGAGGGGAAGAAGAGGACGAGCTTTTCCGTGTTGCCCGTTTGCTGGAAACAATACTCCAATAAGGTTGTGCAATCATTCAGCATGAATGTTATTTGCCAAGGTTAGAGATACTGAATACGAGGAGATAACCGGGCAACATTATCCTTAACAAATCGGAGAATTGCTAAGTTCAATATTCTATCTTTTTCTTGTTAAGCTTTATGCAAGAGAAAAGGTCAATGTGCATGTCATCATCATTGTTGTCTTGCATTTATAACGCCTTTGATACATAGGGTTCTCCATAAAGATGGAAAGATGGAAAGGTGGGATGGTGGGATGGTGATTATGGGGTAACACAAGGTTGAGAATTCACATAGGGCTGGATGGAGCCTTGGAGAGTAATGAGAGAAATCCATCTCAAAACATCTCAAAACACTTACTAGGGACGATTACTACGAGAATTGCAAATATGTAAAGGGACCACTCTTAGACCACAAATTTGGCTTACCGACGAACCTAAGACAGAGAGTGAGTGAACTTTCCTCCCACGCACATGCCAGACAGGCTAGAATTTAAAAAGAACGCCCTTTCCATAGATCGAAGGCGTAGACTCTAAATCTGACGTCAAAACATGTGGACATTTCTGAATAATTGCTAATAGTTCCATTTCGACTTGATTTCGGTCCGACATAACACGAGGATGAATGACAATCGTGATCCAAAAAGCCCAAGTACTCACAAGAAGTCAGGAAAGATTCCGCCACGGAAAAGATTGCCAAGTCGATCCGCTCCTCAACCCAACACAACTATCGTTTTCCATCGGAACCGACCCGCATTACGAACGTGAACTTCTATTTTTGTGATGTCTCAACTTTTTTGTCATCAGCTTAGTAGGTGCAGTGTGAACTGCCGGTAGTGAGCAGGCAGGAATACGAAACGATCATGCTATACAACAGCAGTATGTTGCGACCCGTCAGCGGAGAGCGGATATAATGACTCAGTTCTCTCTTCCACAACGAGGAAATCAGCCGAAGGCTTGCCATTCATTGCGGAATCACCTATTGTTTCTTCACATGTCTTCAAGTGTCTCCAAGTACGAGATGAAGTGAGATAGCATAGCCTCACTATCTATACGAAGTTGCAAACCTTCAGTTTCTATCATGATCCACTTTAACAATATTCTGATGTTTTCTAGCGGTGAGATTAATTCCATGATATGTCTTTTGCTAACTTTGAGTTAGGGAATTTCTGCTTCAAATACCTTGGGTTTGTCTAATAATTGGTATTACGACGCCATCAACCTTTTAATAGACACATTGATGTGTAGGATTACGCGTTCACGACATGGCGAGGCTCAGGACATGAAAGCTAGGCCATTCGTCCTCGTTCTGAAGTTCACATCATTGATTTCGAATCTTCGATCAAATCGAACGGAGCGATATCATTCCCTCGGATATGCTATTACTTCAGTCCTTTCGACCTTGATCATCACATTATTGAGTACATCCAAATTTCCATCTGCCGGTATTGATTTCTCAACACACTAGAGTCTAGACTCCAGGAGACGCAGCAATAGAATGTTTCAACGCCGGTGTTTAAAGATGTCGATCCCGATATGCATTACTCAATTTATGCACCTCGTCGGACTGACATAAAAGCAAGCACAATTATCTCCACTTTATTTTACCTCACTCGCCTCTTCTGGGACGAGTTACGACTCACAGAGAAGAACTTGTGAAGAGTTTTCTCACCATCTACTCTAGAAAGTTCGATGATCGCCAACGTCCTTCTGGATCCGTGGTAGTTCCATTTTCATGGAGATTTGCTCGAAAAGTACCTACTTTGTCAATAAGCTCGTCAATAAGCTCAACATACAACTCATCTCACACTGCACAGTTTTTCTTGCACATTTTTCTTCACTCAGGTCCGCTTCATACGTCACTTGGAGAAGAATAATGAGAAGAACGTTCGCACATCTTTTCATCTAGATTCTACCGTATACCACTCGGTTCGGTGAGAGATAGATAGATCAACACCGGGAGTCTAGGATAGAGCCTTGAGCGAGCTATCAAATCAAGTCCCTCGCAAAGAATTTTACACAATATTGAATACTCACATGCCATGCCAGCCGAACAAAAAGCTGTATCACAGATGCTGTATCCTTAGTTAACCATTTGCACATGTACACAAATCACATTCGGGTACTGACTGGTATTACCCATCACGCATGAGGCTCCATTAACTTCTTATTCTATCACCAAGCAAAACCATCTGACTTCTTTCCAAATACCTACCTAGGTATACAGGAAAGTTCCAGAGCGGTGAAATCTTTTACTTTCGCAATTCGGTCCTCGGACACACCACTAGATAAAAGGTTCCGACATAGCCAAAGTTCTAGATCGTGAATCGCTTTTTCTTCCCTGGGTTTCCTCCGGTAACTTCATCCGGTGGGTCTAGCGAATGATTATTACTCAGCAACCGGAAATTACGATAGGCAGTTCGGGATCCATCGCGTATTATTCCCACATGTCATGCCTGTTATCATTACGCCGGTGCTTTGGTTCGAGTACGGTTAGTTGTTAATCTCGTTCATGGTTTCCTCATGCTTCTTCTGAAAATTTGTTGCTGAATGCTGATGGGACAGAAAATATGGGGCTTTGATTGATGTTGTGTTAACGGAAGGTTAGTGAGAAGGTTGTTAACCTGTTGTGGGTTGAAAATACCTTAATGATTAATGAATGATTGCATTCAATCCGACAAACCAACACTGTTGAAGGTACGAGTTTGTTGGATTATTTCATACCTTATGGAATCACACTCACCGATTACACAATTGATTCGTGGCAATCAGCGACTCGAAGAATCACATCAAGTCTATTCGACAAAGGGGTTCTTTTTGACTTTTCAGCCCTCGAACACGCACGGAGTACATGCTCTAAATGCAGGGCCTAAATGCGTGGGCGTCGGGCTCCTTGCGGGTTCCTGAGGCTACTGCAAGGGCAAGTAAGCCCCCACCGAAGCTCAAGCAGGAAACCTTATGGATACCCACATGTGAATGGATATCTAGGCATTACATTACTCCTCTATGGCGTAATTTGGAACTTGGAACGAAGAAGAGTTTTTGCGGCATTTTATATGATTCGAGCATTGATAAATCGAGGACTCCATACATGAACTCGCAGAGAACACACATGAACGTGATGAACGTGATGAAAATTTGTAACATTACACAACACATGCAGTAACTTTGCAGTAGCTCTTTTTATCAACCAATCCTTTCTAAGCTATCCATAATATCGAAACAAACCGGCCTTTTTTCTAGATGGCTTGTCCTTGCAAGCCATGCAGTCGCTTTGCCATCCCTAGACAATATCAAGGCGAATTTCCACGTTCACCGTTCCGCTGCCGTACCTGCGGCTCTTTCCCGATGATCCGCGAAGGGTAAGAACAGACTTTTATTCAAGAGGAACCTCCAAAATTGCGAAATTGCAAGGTTAAAAATAAAAAGATCGAGAACAATTGGAATCGAAGTGTGTGTGACGGCGGTATAGAATTTTTCAATGCACCTCATCACGTCCGAAATTTTGAAAATATGAACTCCGTGATTGAATCCTGGTCACTCACTGTATTACGGCATTTTCTTCGTCATCCTCGATGTATCCAGATTCGATGATTACAACAGTAACGAGTTCAAAATCAATACGCCGATAACTCTCCTCCGACTGCCCACATCAGCCATTCATGCCAATGACCGGTCACTGCAGCGAAACACTTGGGAAACAAATTCTTCAAGGTGCAAACACGAATTTACTATGGACAGTTGACAATGACATTGACAATGATAAATGACAATTGAGGAATGATTCAAGTTCTAAGATCAAGTGTCTAGAATGCCTTGATCTTTTCAATTTTCGTTGGATGAGAAAAGTGTATTTGGCATCAGAGTGCAACAGATACGAATAATCGAAGTAAAAGTATAAAGATTATTGGCTACTCGTATATTCTCCACATACTGGGCAATATCAAATAGACTTTCCGCTGGGCATGCCCTACGCATTGGCAAACGCATAGCCCTGCCGTTAAGATTCAGGAACAGAAGTCCGCGATCCAATCAAAGCGTAAGCTCATCGATCTCTTCGCTCCATTTCTTCCCACCAAAGGAAAATTCTTTAATCTCGCCAAGCCATGTTCCTCCGAGTCGCTGATGCCAGTAACTGCCGCTTTGGGGTTTAGTGTTCATCTACAAATATCTTTGCGTGTACCGACTCTCTAGAAATAGCGGAGCATTAGATGTACTCATACTCGATTGGGTTTAGATCAGGAACTTGGAATATGCAGCCTGAAATAAGCAAATGTTCTGGATGCTTTCCTTTACTTAGTCCCGATTGAAATACCTAGTATGGTTGTCATGACTCTATGATTGCCGTGATGTATTTTCCAGACTGAGCTAAGTGCCCGAGCTGGCGTTTTCTTGGGAGAATCATGGTACCTTAGTGGTGTCCCACGTTTTACACTTAGTTCTCTGTCTATATAATCCACTGTGCCCCTCATGTGTATTCCTTTTCTTTCCTTACCCACCACGTCGTCTACAAGAGTTCACTCATTCATTAAGTTACTCAACATTTCGATCTGAGATCGCACTTGACTTTACAGTCACTTCACTACTTCCACAGTCTGCCTAACAGCATAACCTGTCTCTACGACATTGAACTCTTAGTCTTGAGGACTTACACAATATCATTTCAAACATCCGATCCGACACCTCATTGCCAAAAGAAGCAATTAGTTTCGATCGACCAACTTGAAGTAAAAGCATAGTCTTACTTTATCTCAATAAATCCTTATCAAGTTTAAACATCACACAAAACACATCCATCACTCAATATGCAATTCACAACTTCCATCCTCGCCGCTACAGCAGCACTCGCAACTATTGCCTCTGCCGGCACTGTCCACTTCGTCAACCAAGATAGCACCACCCGTACTTTAGTCTTCACAGCCACCTCCGGCTACGAAGCCATCGAATCCCTCACCATCCAAGGAGACAGCACCGCCAACCAAACCTTCCCAACCGGCTGGATCGGCAATTGGTACTCCATCTCTGACGGTGCCGAAAACACCTCCGGCATGCTCGGAGAAGTCTGCTTCGATTCCTGGGGAGGCATGACTTACTTTGATGTCTCAGCCATCGTTAACCCCGACGATACAGAAGGTGTCAAGGAACTCTTCCCCTTACATACCGGTCTTCCTGTCTCTGGCTGTCAAAGCTTTCCTTGCGATAACGCTTACAATCATGCTGATGATGTGCAAACTCAAGCTACGGATTCCAATGAGCTCGTTTGTCTTTTGGGTAATCTTCCTGCTTCTAAGCGTGAGACTAGATCGAAGTTTGGTAAGGAGTTTGTTACTGGTGGGGGATCGGCTTAGATCTTTTATTGGTTTCATTCTTCTTTCCTTTGCTTGTTTGTTTGGGGGTGGAGATGGGCATGGAGATACCCTTGCGCTGATGCATGTACATACATAACGATTCAAACCGACATACACACAGTACATCAGAAGCAAGCGCAACACGAAAAAAGATAAGGACAAAAGGAAAAAATAAATGTACGTCAGCGCCGCTAAGCGTGCCGCGATGTGACATACGAATTTTATGATGGTCGGTCGGTTGGTTCTTTCATGATGGATGGTTATAGAAAAGGATATTCGGAATGGGATGGAAACGGTACGATCATATCGCATCGGATTGGGAATACCCGTGTTTTGGGAAACCATTTTTCTCTTTTTTTGGATTGAGGATTTAGGATTGAGGATTTTCTTTCCTATTCTTACTTTCTTTTGGCTCTATTTTTTTTTATATAGGTATATAGACTTTTTTTTCTTTTTGAGATCTTTGGATTGGGGATCGATTATTTTCAATTGTATATATGTTTAAGATTAGAAATTTTTTGGATATTTGATATTTGATATTTGAGATTTGAGTGGGTTTGGTGATTTGGTGGTGATGAAGTGATGAAGTGATCTGATGTGACAAGAGAAAAAAAGAGTGAAGGAAAGGAGATGGGATAAGTGTTACGAGGTTTGCCGTCTAGATCACGTGGAAGTGCTCTAGGCTCTCGAGGTGGTTTATAACTAGGTGTCAAGCAGGGACTTAAAGTAATGACAATAATGCAATTCGTAACTAATAGTAGAGTATACTAAATGATTGATCTTGAGCATGAAGCTCTATACAAAGGAAATCCATCTTGATTATATAGACCTTCATGCCTCCTTAAAAAACCGATGGTTATGAGCCCGACAAATCGATCACCGCAAAACCGATCTCGATTTGTCGGTTTCTTGATCATGTGATCAAGAACGTGACCTATGTTACTGTCCGACGTAACATAAAGGGAATGGAGGGAATGAAGGGAATGGATTCTTGATGTTGTGTATAGTAGTTTGAACTAAGCTTGTTTTTTTAGTGTATTAAAATATAGATTTATATTATGTCATGGTGGCTCTTTCTTTTGGTATGGGATTGATATTTATTATTGTTTATTTCTGTTATTTATGATTTATATTATTGTTAGATATGTTTTTTGTGAGTTATTGATAATAGATGAGTGTTTTTGTAGTTAGGTGTTATTGATGTTTAGATGTATAAGTGTCACGAACCACGTCTAATATTATCCTAGGATGAGAATCGTCCCAGGATTAGTGTCCTGAGGCCAATGGGAGATCACGTGACGTGATAGCTCTGCTAGCCGGCTAGCAGAGCTAGCATTCAGAGAAACGTTTAGTATATAGTTAGAATAGTTTCATACTTTAGGAGCTTCGTGCTCAACTTAGTTATCAATTAGTTTACCTACATTCTACTTGATCTAGTAACGAATTCACTTCCAAGTGAATACCAGTGATAAAGCCTTAACCCATAACTACCAACCGACGAACCTTAGGCAGCCGCTGCCTTTAGTACAGTATCGTTACAGATATCTTGACTTTAGCCTAGCTAGTATTGAGATGTTTAAGGACCTCGGAGTAAAGTTAAAGAGTCTAAAGTATCGAGTCTGAGTGGATCATAAACCAGAGGCATTGATTTCTGTGACCAAAAGGGTGTTTATAGACCAGCAATTGTATTTAACTTAGAATCTACAGGTGAAGAGCACCTGTAGATGGGGATAGCTACTCTATATATACACAAATGAATGGCCTAGCCGTAATGGCTTAGGCAAAAAGAAGTCATATTTATCCCTCCAATGATCTTACTTTACCGATAACCATTGATACCTAGTACTTGTCCGGATCTGATCCTCAGGTCACCTAAATCGCATACTAATCTCGAGTAATCGTATCATGTGTGGACATGGTTAATGTACCTGAGGTTTCTTATATAATAAGGGTGGGAGGAAAGCAGGGATTTCCGTCACAATTATTATTGAATTTTTAAGAATAATAATGTTTTATTATTTCTAGAATCGGAAAATGATATTGAATTTTATTTTAAAAAGATATTTTCTTTTTACTTCTAAAAATAAGGAGTATAATAACGTGGTTTATCATCGGGTCGCCAATATCACCGGGTCGCCACTTTTTTCACCATTCAACCACTTCAATTTCAATTCGCGATATCTCAATGAATTATCATGGAAACACAATCAAAAGAAGCCCGAATCATCTTAGCTATTGAAGCTATTTGAAAGTCTAAAAATTTGACAATTACGAAAGCTGCGAAAGTCTATTCAGTACCTCGATCTACACTACGCGATAGAATCAACGGTCGAAATAACCAAATGGAAACTCGAGCAAATGGGCATAAAATAACTGAATTAGAAGAGAAAGTGCTTCTTCAGTATATAATTGATATGGATGATAGAGGGTTTGCATCTAAATTGAGTGGTGTGGAAGATATGGCGAATTATATTCTTCAGTCGCGAGGGGCAAAGAAGGTTGGAAAGCTCTGAGCTCATCGATTCGTAAAGCGTCATACGGAATTAAAGATGCGTTTTAATCGCGTTTATGACTTTCAAAGGGCTCTCTGCGAAGATCCTAAGCTTATTGAAAGATAGTTTCAAGTGGTATTGAATATGCGAGCGAAATATGGTATTCAGGATTGCGATTTCTACAATTTCGACGAAACAGGCTTCATGATGGGGATTATAGTTGCCTGTATAGTTGTAACTAGTGCTGAACGAAATGGCAGAAGCAAGGCAATACAAACAGGCAATCGAGAATGAGCTACAGCAATTATATGTGGTAATGGAGAGGGTGAAACTATACCTTCATTTCTGATAGTTCAAGGACAAGTCCACCTTTCGAATTGGTATACCGAAACCGATCTTCCTGCAGATTGGGCTATTAAACCTATTTCCAATGGATAAACGAATAATGAGACAGGGTTAAAATGGTTAAAGCATTTCGATAAACATACTATTCATCGAAGCAAGGGCAAATATCGAATGTTAGTGCTGGATGGACACGAAAGTCATGAATCAATACCCTTTCAGTCATATTGCAAAGCAAATGATATAATATGCATAAAGCTACCAGTGCATTCTAGTCATTTAACTCAATCATTCGATGTTGGATGTTTTAGTGTCCTGAAACGCTCGTATAGTAGTCAAATTGATGGATTTATCAAGGCATATATCAACCATATCTCTAAGGTTGAATTCTTTATAGCTTTCAAAGCTGCATATCAACAATCAATTACATCTCAGAATATAAAAGCTAGGTTTCGAGGAACTGGATTAATACCATTTAATCCTGAAGCTGTACTCTCAAAGTTAGATATTCGAATTCATACACCTACTCCCCCCCTCTCAATATAGATCCTTGGATCTCTCAAACACCTCACAATCCAACTGAAGCTCTTTCTCAATCAACTTTAGTAAAATCTCGAATAAGTCGTCATCAATCAAGCTCTCCTACGCCTATATTCGAAACTGTACTAGCTCTAGCTAAAGGTACAGAGAGATTAGCACATGAGAATACACTTTTGAGTGCAGAAAATCGTACACTTCGGAAGGCAAACGAGGCATTAAGCAAACGTCGACACGCAAAAAAGATTCAATTACATCAAGGAGGAGTGCTTACCGGACAAGAGGCTCTTGATATATTATCTCAACAAAAGGTTGATGTTCAGATTCAACGCGACGAGCGTCAAAAGAGAGGGAATTCTAATGGGGAAGCATCTTCTAGTCGATGCTGTAGTACATGTGGGAGAACTGGTCACAATTCAAGAACTTGTCAAAATAGTATAATAGACCCTAGATTATTAGATTCTTAATAGTTTCAATCAATTGATTGAGTAGCTGTTGAATAATACAAAATTGAAGTGGTTGAATGGTGAAAAAAGTGGCGACCCGGTGATATTGGCGACCCGATGATAAACCACGTTATTTCAATTATTAAAAGTGAAATAGGAAAGCAAAGGAAGAGGAAAGGAGCGGTGAGGCGGGAAGTCAAGACCACTGATATAAACTGAATTTCCTCCAATCTGATCTCATCAGGAACGTCTGGTACAATATATAAATCTTTGCATATCAATCGAAAATTGTGACTGCCTTCTTGGATAGAGTATAGAGTACATATGCTTCACTAATACCACCTGGAAGATGAATGGCAAGGCCTAGAACAGATGCTACGCTTGAGGATCTGGCAAGTAGCTACATAATGTGGAATGATTTTTGAGGTGTTCTGGCAGTAGAGATATGTAGATTTAGAGACTTTAACCAATTTTATGGTAGTCTGTGTAGTCAATGAAGTGAGTTGCAATTGCAACTGCGGCCTGGGTAGTAATAGTGAGTGAACATAGTCAGGCTCCGTGTAACACTCCCGCCCAAAAATAGTTGTACTTAATGCATACATATGAACTACTCACTCATATGGCAGCGATGTTTATACTGGGACGAAGTTCAATAGGCATAGCCAACTTTTGTGCTGCAGCTCACTCAAGCCATTCTTTAAAAGCCAGCTAGATTTATTGATGAGAGAACAAGGAAGATGTGACTTTTCTATCTATCGCTTGGAACCCAAATCTCTATATGTCTTTTGAGTGTTTTCATTCTTGCACTTAAAACAAGGCAGACGTTCAACTTCGAATGTCTTTATTGTTGTATGCTCCTATTCCATCTCACGTTTACTATTCCTACTCTTCGGTTCATTAATAAGCTACGAAAATTCTAGCAAAAGTTTAGTTGCGCGTCTACAAATCCGCTCAAGTCCAAGCTTGATTAGTATCCAGAACAAGAATTAGAGTTTGCAACTTTGCATAGCATGGCATCCTCTGAGATGTTGGATTTGTCGAAGCTGCTTTTTTGGTGAAACCACCAGAACAATTTCAATATAGCCGAACACTTTAGCACGACGGCGAATTTTTGGGCACTGCTAAATTATGTAATCAAATGCCAAACGAAAAGAGCCTGGCAGCCTTGCTCTCAGATGAATAAACCGTAACATGTCATTGTTACAGTCCTGCAAAGAAGACTACGAGTTTCGTTCATATTTATTATTTGCGACAACATGCCGCGGCACGAAGACATCTAGGAAGAATGCGAACTAGTTAGGATTATGATGCTAATGGTAAAGTCTTTCTCTCAAAGCTTTCGCTGCTTCTTACAATCGTACATGCCAGCGTTTCGAAGATCGCGATAGGCACATTACGAGACGATGGCTCCCCTAAACACTTCTTCGATATAGTTATGTTCATGCTGATCGCCTGGATTTTAAAATCATTCTCCGCTATTGGCAACCTTAGTTGCCGCTCATACGCTATATGAGAATCGACAATAAGCAATATCTTTGGTGGTATGTGATTCTGTACACCGCGCCAGGCAGTATCTGCAATCATCTACGTATATGCCTCCGCGTATGCAGATACTTCTTCCAAAACAACAACGATAGTTTCCCATATGATGGTTTCAATTACTTTTCTGCGTTTAGCTTGGAAGGCTGAAAGTTGTCTTCACCCCTCACTAATAGTTGAGACTGCGAATTGATGGAAGTGGCTGATATTTATCGGCATGGACGGGTCAAAGGATTATTCGTGAATATGCCATACCTAATGAGTCCTTGATATGCTTGAACGAACTGTCAACACGCCAACTTCGACACCAGCACGCTTGATATTTGCAAGATATCAAATAGTGGTCGTTACTTTAACAAGGCTGAAGTTGGCACATGTCTTACTGTTAAATGCCTCGCTGGACTATGATTAGGTTTCTAACGCTTCTGTGTTGTTCGAACCTACCTGATTCCAAATAAGTACTGGTTTGCAGACGACCAGACTTTTTGACATGATGGCCGTCTCTGGGTGATTATGAAGCACTCGTTATCCTTACCCATATACTGAGCCTCACAAAGCTCTAACCTTGACTGCCCCCAACAACGACATCATGGCCCACTGAAGGTGCTTGAGGCTATCGATCATTTATCATAGATGTTATCATCATTCACAACCATTTCTAGGACGATCCCGCCGAGTAATTCAAAACCACAAAGCCACACAACGGCGGAGTTCCCGGAATACTGTCTACATTTCGAGCGCTGGGCAATTTATCTTTTGGCAGAAGAGCTGCAAGGGAGTTGCTCCCAACTACACCAGGGACATTTCTTTGCACACATGGGCGTGGGATAATTGAGGGTTAGACTCCCTTGACTCTCGCGCAGAAGCAACTATATTGGCATGGACATGTCGACGATAATTTCCTTTGCTTTGCTTGTTATATTTGCGTTTTAACGCATCGTAGATAGAACTTTGCATACTTTGCGTGACTCCGAAATTGTAAACGCGGTTTGGATACCGATGCATCGATGCATGGAACTTGGAAGGAAGGACACAAATCTCGGTAATCTGCTCACTCGGTGTCGGACGATTCTTTCAATATTTCAAGTCTTATGGAACAACGAGTGTGGTGGGTTCTTTCTTACAATATCAAATGTTTGGGCATGGCATTTTCGCAGATTATGGTTTATGGATCTAACACCCAGGAACATCGTCTTTATTGGACTCAACTCAATTCAGCAGCAGAACCCACGACCACCGCAACCACAACCACAACAAATAGGCAAGTCATACAATCACATTCAGATAGGTAATGTAACACCAAAAAATCCCTACCAATTTTTTTTATTTCATCTTCATCCTATACTTTTCAATTGTCTTCAAGATTTTTATAACTTCTTTTCCTCAAACTTCTTTTCATTATTCAATTCAATTCGACATTTTCATCTTAAGGTTCTTTTGTGTCGCATTGTATGGTTTGATGCCAATCCATCGACTCAATTCTCGCTAAGCCTAAAGAAGCGCGCCACTTTAGCAAAATCATCGACATTGCCTCAATTATGCCTTCAACTCAACAACCCAAAGAACACCCTGATGCTCGAGATGCGATCGCGCTCGAGATGAAAGACAGCTGGAGCCCCGGTGACGATCGCAGAGATAGAGGTAGAGTAGACCGAGGAGTTATTGAAAGACGGTCGAGAAGATCAAGGTCTCCCACGTCACGTCGACTGGACACCGACAGGACACCCAACGCTGGAGATCGCAGTACTGATAGGTCAAAGCCATCACAAGAAGTTGAAAGGCGAGATCGCAGCCCAGACCGCAGAAGACAATTATCTCCTCGGGCAGGAAAGGATTCACAAGAAGAGGTATTGAAGCGCAATCAAGGCAGGGAACTATTATTGGAGACGCGAGGCTCGGAACAAGTAAAAGGAGATACAGTTCATTCACCTCAACCGATCAAAAGAAGGAAGAGTCGTAGCCCATCGCCGAATCGCAATCAACAAAAGAAAGCTCGAAGAAATTCTCGCAGTCCAATACGGCACAACGGAGCTACCAAAGGGTCATCTCGACGTGATAGGAAGCGGCGTAACAGGTCTACATCACAGCATCGAAATCGACAATCGGAACAGAACAGAAACAATCCACGCGAGGAAGGGAATCCTAGAAACCGTAAGGATTTCGGGAAGAACGATAAGCGGGGACGATCTCCTGGTCAGAACCGCGATAAATTCGAAAAATCTCGCCCTTCATCCTCTCTGGACTACGACGACCCCCCAGCGAATCGTAATCAATCGCCCCAGAGAAACATTGAGCAAGAACAAAAGGACGGGGAAAGAGTAACATTAGAGTCGATTGAGAATAAGGAGAAGAAACGAGACCTTTCCCCATACTCGACTCGTCGATCTCCAGAGGCAGACAGATACGGGCATACAAATCGCGGTCGTCGTCAATCACCTCGTGCACCAAAAGGGCCAAAGGGAAATAGGAGACGTTCTCCAAAGCGGGATAAGGGACGACCTTCACGAGACGAATATCGCCCTAATAATAAATCCCGAGGCCGACCGACATCGGCAGCTTCAGGAGCGAACAGTATTGAGGTCAAGTCGGATAAGATGGCCAACAGAGGATTTTATGGTAGCCAGCAAGGATACAACCCAAACCAACAGATGCAGGCAGCATTTCCTCTAAAGCCGCAATTCAACCAAGTCCCCCAAGGCCCTCAAGCTGATCCAAGACAATTTTCACAATCCCCACAGCATCAAATGACTCCGAACTCATATCATGGCTCACCTCAGGCACAGTCACCATATTCGTCTGGACGGGGAAATTGGAATGGCTCACAGCAACAACAATTTTCTCCCACTTCGTAAGCTATTCTTTGGTAGGACTAATGATTTCATAATCTAACAAGACTTACAGGCAATTCCAGCCAAACTACCAGCAACAACCAGGATATGTTACTCCCACTGGTCCGCAAAGTCAAATGTATGGCAACCAAGCACAATCTCCTTCTCACCAAGCGCCTCCCACAGGGCCGATGAACAATAACTTCAGAGGTAATCAAAGATTCCGAGCTGGCAATTTCAATGCCCGAGGTAATCGTGGTAATCAATTCAATCCCCAATGGAATCCTCCTTCTGGTCCCTCTAGCGCTAGTCGTGCCCAGTTCAGCAATTCCGGTAACGTCACACCTCAGCATATGTCCCCGCAGCAGCAGTTCCCATCGCAGAATCCATTTGATTCTAGTGCAATACCACTTCAAAACCAGGTAGACGATAGCGAGGACTTATTTAGGCCCTCAAAAGACCTTCAGGCTGAGGATACTAGCAAGAAAAATGATGAGGAACAAATGCCTCCTCCTAGTCGACCACCACCAACAGGTCCCCAGAGCCAACAAAATTCCTCGAAATTTAGCTTTGCATTCAAAGGCCCGGCGAAAGCGGCTACTACTCCAAAACCAGAGATCTCTCAGAAGCTGAACGCTGTCCCAATCAAGCGAGATATGCAAAATAGCCCTCGTGGTCCTGCGGCAACACGAAATATTCCCACAGAACCGGCATCTGCAAGAGCGCAACACGCATTTCGCGAGCCACCACCTGTAACACGCAAGGTCAAGAAGATTATGCAACGTTTGAAACCAAAGCCACAGCTGCTTCCCGAATACAAGGCCTCGGATTCCGTATACTACCGGAAACCTGGCAATGAATCTGTCGTTGGATCTGGAACTTACGGTAAAGTGTTCAAAGCTATTCATGTTTATACAAATAAGTTGGTTGCTTTGAAGAAGATTCGCATGGAAGGAGAACGCGATGGTTTTCCTGTGACTGCGGTACGGGAGATAAAACTTCTTCAATCCTTGAAGCACCCAAATATCGTTAATTTACAAGAGGTAATGGTGGAGAAGAACGATTGCTTTATGGTTTTTGAATATCTGTCACACGATCTGACCGGCTTACTCAACCATCCGTCCTTCAAGCTAGATGCAGCTCATAAGAAGCATCTTGCTAAACAGCTTTTTGAGGGCCTAGATTATCTTCATCGCCGAGGTGTTCTACATCGGGATATCAAAGCAGCAAATATTCTTGTTAGCGACGAAGGGCAACTAAAACTAGCAGACTTTGGACTGGCTAGATTTTATGCCAAGCGAAGGCAGCTCGACTATACCAACCGTGTAATCACTATCTGGTATCGTTCACCAGAACTTCTCCTCGGCGAGACACAATATGGTCCTGCAGTAGACATTTGGAGCGCAGCCTGTGTCTTGGTCGAAATTTTTACTCGACACGCAATATTTCCCGGAGACGGTGGTGAAATCAGTCAACTCGAGAAAATTTACGCTGTACTTGGAACGCCAAATCGAACTGATTGGCCTGGCTTAGTAGACATGGCATGGTTCGAACTTCTAAGACCTACTGTCAAACGATCCAACGTTTTTGCGGAAAAGTACAAGGAACGAGTTACGCCGGCTGCGTTTGAGCTTTTGGATGCCATGTTTCAGTATGACCCTGTTAAGCGACCTTCTGCTTCTGATGTTCTTGAGCACCCGTACTTCACAACGGAAGAGCCAATGCCGAGACAGGCTGTTGAGTATGTTATTTTCTTGTTTTTCAGACTTTACCAAATGATCATTAGCTAATACCCTGAAATAGGCTCAAAGAACTTAAGGGCGACTGGCATGAATTCGAGTCCAAAGCGTTACGTAAAGAAAATGAACGTAAGGATAAAGAGGCACGAAGGGCGGCGCAGAAGGAAAAAGAGAAGAAGAGAAGTGCAGAGGGTGAAGCAAGTTCCGAAAGAGAACCAAAGCGAGTAATGATGGGACCTCCAAACATACCACCACCAGCTTCCATACCTCAAAATCAGGAGGTCGCCGCTCCGAGTAACTAGGTCGATTTCATATGAGCCACCTCCGTAGTAGGGATCAGAAGGTCCAAACAGAAGCTTGCAGCATGTACATTTGGGAAGAAGCACTTTTGGCATTCGTGCACCGGATAAAGCTTTTGTAAGATTATTGACATTAATAACTTAAGTATGTAATTGGACGCGATTTGGTTCTTCATGGGATGATGCATCTTCAGATGAGAAATTTAGGGGTTGAACGAGGAGCACGAGGAGTGGGAGCGGGCGTTCTGGAGACGAGGAAAGGCAGGGAGATAGGCATGCCATCGTACGATAGCGCATTGTGCCTTGAAAGCAAATCCTCTTTCCACTTTTTTAGTTCTTCAAACCGGATGTCATGGAGATTACGATAAAGGAGAGAATTTCAATGATATTCAAATGATGATTGATGTATTTACTGTGTTTGTTGTAACTTGTAAGACTTATGATTTCGTTTCTTGAGAGTGAGAATATAAAATATGCTGTGACAGTACCTAGGTAGGTATTGTTTGCAGTGAAATTGACAAGATAGGTAGATTTCTGGGATGAGACGCGAATTTGATTTTTTGTGTTTATTTTGCTTTGCTTTGCTTTGTTGTATTATGTATTATGTTAGTTCTCGGTTCCTTTTTTTTTATAATGGAGATATGGGAGAGCGGCGGGCGAGCGGGCAGGGATTAGTTGAGTAGGTTAGATACATAAGGTAGGTGAGGTAAGATCCTACTTTATACATGTGTATATGCGCGTGTGTGTGTATCTATGTTTGCGCTTGATCTATTTATGTATTGTTTTTTAGTAGGAGAATTGCGTGTAGGATGGGGTGGAGGGTGTAATTTGGAGAAGAGGGAATAGATAGTTTTCAATTCTATAGAAGATTATTAGGTACTTATATGACTTTTCTCCGATGTACTGTAGCGGAGATACGTGGGTTTGAATATATTCGAATTTCTATATTGAAGATAGGAACGTATCTCGTCTGATATGCACTGTTTGAGCGATAATTATATACGACTAGATTATAATCTTTTAAGATTTTCTCGTCTCAGCGTTTATCTAATAGTTTATATCCTCGAATCATGGGGTTGTTGATACCTAGATACTATTACTATAGACTATCCCTTCGCATCCTATGCGTAAATGTGAGAATATTCTTTCGTCCCAACGCCAAACACATTTATTTATTCATGTACACATCAAACATCGCTCGTTCATTCGACACCCTATGCACCGCTTCTATAAACCTGACTTCCCTGTCCTCTAATAGCAATGGTATCTCTTCTCTGCAGCACCACCAACGCTCTCTCTAAGCTCATTTCGCTAAAGCCTCTTCCTTCACACATTTCTCTTTTCAAAGTCGCTAGACTTGTGCTCCATCCCACGGGCAACCTTTTCTTTAATTCTTCCTCTAATCTGGCGACTTCGTCTTGCAGTTCTCTACTTCCTTGTTGTGCAACACCTTGTTGAACGGCATCCATGGTGGATGCTAAGAATAGACGGATTGCTTCATCGACATGATGTTCGTAGGCGATAGGGGAGAGAGAGATCTTAGCGAGAGATTCTGTTATTCGGATGATGGCTTCGAGCTGACGGACGGTAATAGGGATGGAAGAGCGTTCATTTGTTGTCATCTCGGTGGCATGGACTTGCTTTCGGATGGATACAAAATGTGAGGAGAGCTTTTCGGCGGCTTCTGGGGAAAGACGCGGTGCACAACGACTGGAGGCTGTTAGTTTTGAACTTTTTGGTTACATAGACGGCGAGTAGAAGTAATACGTACGATTTACAGTAGCTGATGTATCTCTTCATCTTTTCAACAGGAATCTCCGACTCAGCTTGTTCTTCTCTCCCTCTACCACCCATGTGAACATTCATAACGTGTCTCGCCATCTTCTCATCTTTACCTCTCTCGTGCTCATCCTTGACTATAAAAATCATGTCGAAACGCGATAGAATCGTGGTCTGAAAATCAATGTTTTCGCCTGGCGATTTGAGATCATCATAACGCCCAAAAATAGGATTGGCTGCAGCAAGGACTGAAGTCCGTGCATTGAGAATTGTAGTGATACCGGCTTTAGCTATCGAGATAGTTTGTTGTTCCATAGCTTCGTGGATGGCCACTCGATCCTCATCACGCATCTTGTCGAATTCGTCAATGCACACCACACCTCCATCTGCAAGAACCATAGCTCCTCCCTCGAGGTAAAATTCTCGGGTTGTGTGATCGCGTTGAACAGAGGCGGTAAGACCAGCGGCGGAAGATCCTTTCCCAGATGTGTAGATAGCGATAGGAGCAACCTTTTCTACGAATTTTAAAAGCTGCGATTTGGCAGTTCCGGGATCACCAAGGAGAAGGACGTTAATATCACCACGAAGTTTCATACCATCAGGAAGGATCTTCTTAGATCCACCAAGCAAGAGACATGCTATTGCTTTTTTGATATTGTCGTTGCCATAAATAGACGGAGCAATACAGGAAGCGAATACACTGTAGAGGTCAGGTCTGCGCGACATCTCGAGGAATTCTTGTTCCTCCTCTTCCGAGAATACTGCGTTTCCTTTTGCTGTGTGATCAACATCGCTATGAATACCCACAGCTCGCAGGTACGGAGTTCGAATAGCAACGGCTGAGGTTGTGGAGGAGCCTTTCGTGTTTTTATTTTGATAAATAGAAAATATACCAGTGATCATACATCTCGTACCGGGTACCACACGGTTTGTCAAATATCTATCGGTTGAAATAAGAACGTGCCGTGGTAATTCTCCCACCGGAACTTGATCTGGAGCTTCCTGAAGCTTAATAATTTGTTGATCCACAAATTGAGAAGATTCATGAACGACCACATATGGATCCATGGGACAAGGTGGATCTCCAGGCATCTTTTGTCTATCGCACATTCTGGGTAGCGAAACACCAGAAAATCCACCATTTACTGGTAATATTTTTGTAGAACGACAATTCCGACATTGTATATTCAGTGCTGTTGCTTTTGATGATAGTACCGATGCTCCTATGACGATACCTGGCACTCGTACAAGTCGGGATATGGCAAAAGCGTCTAAATCTCGAATAGAAATCTCCGAGGCTGTGGAGTGAAGGAGGAGTTGATGTTCGGGAAGGACAATGTCTCTATCTGAGGGATATACAATTCGATGGGGTACATCTTTTTAATGCGCTTTCAAAACTGGGAAGAACGTCTAAAACATAGTTTGGGGATAGTTTTCTGAGGACTTTGTTTTCAAAAAGGGTGATAATCCTCTGCCGGGTTCTCGTCCTAAGTTCTATGTGCAAATTCTCTTTCTTTTAAAGGATATTTATAGTTGCCCAATATC